AGGGGGTGACATCCAGTTGGTCCCCCACCCCCTAGGGCCTTCCTGGGACCTGGGGCCTCCACTTCTGGCCACTGGGGGGATTTTTGGGCCCCCTCTCAGCCACCGGGGGGGGGCTTTCTGGGCCCTCTACCAGCCGCCACAGGGCTTTCTGGGTTGCTGCAGGGCTGCACGCACAATTTCCCAGTGCACGTGTGCATGTGTGTGCTCCCATGCAGCACGCACACCAGAGGTCCCACCTCCAGAAGCACTGCACTGCACCAGGTGACACCAAGTCGGGGTACGCCACTGATCCTGAGCAATGCTGAATTACAAATGCAGGTCAGATGGCTCTGCCCAGTGGAGCAAATATATCAGGAGGTTTCAATATTTGTTGTTGTAATTCTCAGTTGTTGTTGGATTGTGGTTGTTTTTATCTAAATTATGTTTCTGTTGTTCCAGACTATTTTCTGATAATTCCCGGAACCAGTTGCAGATTTTATACCCACCATCAAGTGGGTTTCTTTTTCATTCCAAGACATATCAAAACAATGCATTCCCTTCTCATCTCCTCCTTTTCTAAAACAAAAGTTAGAGTTGTAGTTCTATACTGCATCAATTAAATAGCACTTCTGCACTAACACCACCACAGTTTTTTCAACTTCTCTGCTTGAGGCCACTTGACTCTTTTTTAAAAATACAGAGAGGAGAAACTTTTTCCATTCAGAACATAGGGACATCTCAACAAATCATTCCCCAGGATTTTTGGAAGAGCCCTAGTGCCAAGAAATTGCTGAAAAACAGGCCTCTCGCCAGAACAGCACACATTCACAAATGCTTCATTTTTCACTTGGTACATCACTCATTCACATTTCTTTCATTCATCAGTTAAGGATTCTCTTACTTTAAAGGTACAAATGGCTTTTGCAATTGATATGGTGGAAATGCATCTTCATTTCCCTAGTTCTGGATACTATATTCAGCTTTATGTATTCAGGAATCTCAATTCATTCAAGTCAATAATCCACTCCAGCTGGAGCACCACTTTTCAAAGATGTTGGAATGCAACTGTGATTTCACTCCTTTGTTCAGCTTCAGCTCATATTTAACATGAGGTTACTTCACATTCAAAAGGGCATGGACATAAATAGATAGTGAGTGAGCAAAGACTCAAAAGATAATTCCAGTGACCTGTGAAAATGCTCCTGGTTAATGACACCACAAGATCCTTTGTTGATTTTGCTCATCGTTTTTGCAATCATGCTGGGAAACAACCAGTCCTTCTGCAGTCAGATAAATAGGTACTATTTCTGTTGAAGTGTCATTTTCAGGGACAATGGCATTATTTTCTGATCTTACTAGTGTTACATGCCCTGATTACATCCTGAGTAGATTAATGTAGCACACTGCATGTGACGATGATTTGGGAAAGTCCTGGGAGGAGATGACAGGTGAAGCAGCTAGACACTTAAAAAAAAACTGATTATTTGATGATGTAATTTCTATGGTGCATTATATCCTGCTGGTTTTGACCTTTAAAGGATTTGAGCTGAATATCTGAAAATTCTCCTCCACTCATACATAATGCAGTCTTCAGAAAAGCCTCTGCTTCACAAGCCAGGTTCATGATATTTTGTTTCCTGGAGTGAAGAAAAAGAATCCATTCCATGTAAAAACACTGACTGGATCAACAGCTGATTCATTCTGCAACATCGATTATTGGAAAGTGTCTTCCACCATATCTGAAGGCAGTACACCAGGTTGGGTTACATAGGACGTTATCACATGGGGGCAAATCTGCTGGTTAATCCACACAAATCCCAAACAGAAACTGGATTTGTGCTTCGCGTTTTCACACGACGTCGCACAGAAACTGGACAGAAAGTGGACAGAAACTTGTGTTAACCGAGATCTTTTGAAATTCGGTTGTTTGGAGGAAATGCAAATACGAAATTACGGTAATTTCGCATTTACCATAATGTGAAAAGCAAATGCGAATTTGGGAGCATTTCCTGCATGTGCAAAAGGCTCATTTCTAGTACATTTACAGGCTTTTGTCGCTTGTGTGTGAACGTTA